GTTTCTTCTTCCAGATATTCAGCTTGCCCTGATTTAAACAGAAGGCAGAGGCATGCTTAACAGTACAAAAATGCAGAGAAATGCACACAGTTGCCACTGTCAAGTAGTCACTGCTTGTGTTCCAAGTTAGGGGCAGCAAGGAGAAGTCCATTGCAAAAGTGTTCTAAGGCAACACTTGAAAACTGAAGGATTCTGAGAAATGTATTTAAACTAGTCCTCCTGGATCTGGCTAAAACCCCTTTTACCTATTTTTGGATACACTTGCAGATCTTTGTTAATAAATTACATCAAAATGACTTGAAGTTTGGAAGGGGGAATGCTCCCCCCCTCCTATTCTAAAAAAAAAATATCTGAGCAAATAGTGCCCCTGGTATTGTAAAGCTTTGAATGTTTTCACACCCCATTAATTTATTACTTCTCCTTCTTCATCTTTAAATTTCATTTCCCCCCCTCCCCCCTCAAAAAAATCCAGCTCCCTGCTGCTTGTGAGATTTCCATCTTGTTGTTAATTTTCTCTGCTCCATATGGAGCACCAGACATTTCACCTGGAGGCTGTACTAGATTTTTCTGTAGTGATCGTGCTTCCGGAGGGCAGAACTGTCATTTCAGGTTCCTGGTGCATCTGTCTGTGCCAGCCTTCTTTCTCCTCTTCCCCCACCCCCACCCCTTTTCACTGGCACAGGAGAGTGTGAATAACAAATTGGGCGCACCTGAGATTTGGAGTGTGTGTGTGCGCATGTGTGCATGTTGAATCTGTGCAACTTGCAAGCAGATTACTTTAGGGCTGAGAGGATCTAAGCAGTTCTTGATGTGGCCAAGTTTGTGCACTCACCTTCTGTTTGGGCTTGGCTTGAGGAATGCAACCCTGAACACAGGCAAGCGTTGGAGGTGGGAGGGAGGGAGGAGAGAGAGAGAGGAGTAAATATTTCATCCTGCCTTGTCATTGATTAGAAAAGAGCCTTTAATTTCATCTCACCCCATGTTGCGATTAATTTGCATTCTTTGTCAGAAGTTAATGGAGTTTTTTATGGTTCAGTCTGAAATCCTTGAAGACATCAGTGAGTTGATCTGATGTTTATACAACCGCCAGCAGAATTTTTTTTTTGCCTTTGATTGATGGTGAGCTTGATGTTTATTCCAAACGGCTTTTAAAGCTGTTTTTAAGAATTATTTGAATAAAATGCAAGCGAGATATTGTTATAACGAGCAAGATTATCTGTTAAAAATCTGTTTCAAATAAGGAGTATGATAAGGAGGGGAGGGGAGGGGGAGAGGAAACCCCAAAAAGAGGAGGCAGTAGTGGCAAGTGGTGAAGATGCCTTTTCAACAAATGTTCACCTAGCAAGCTCTGAAACGGGTTATTACAAAACTGCAGTGGTGAGACTGATGGAGGTGATATTTAGTGGGAGCTTTCTGTTCAAAAGGGGACAACTTTGGGGGCCAACGTGTTTTTTCCCTTTTCTATAATGGCTAATAAAGTCACCAGATTTGAAAACTTGGCTGCTTCCCATTTCTTCTGCCAGCCCTTTCCTGCCTGGCTTTTGCCAACGGTTTGATGAAGTGTTGCTGTCTTGTTCCTAACTCAAAGGGACAAGACTGTTAGGCCAGTTAGCTCAACAAAATGATGACATATTGCTTCTCTCCGGGTAGAGGCACCCAGCGCGATGGAAACAAAAGTGAATAATAGAGAATGTTAAAGAGCAAGATTGAACATGCTCCTCTTTTGGGTTGATTTTATAAAGGAAGGCAGCAGTCCAAAACATTATTAATGGGGGTGGGGTGAGGTAAAAATCCTGCATTGGATCAGTTCTCATGAGTTACCCTGATCCAGGACCCCATATGGGTTCTGGTGTTTCAGCAAAGCTGTTCAGAGGTGAGAGCATCTCTAGACAGGCACAAAATGTTCACAGAAGGATGCAGTTAGGTAGCAGCCCTTCCTAATGAGTTTAGTATTCTGTCCTCTATACATGGACAGTCACTGGATTGGGGCAACTGTTTTTGCCTAATTTTGTATACAAGCAAGCCCACCACTTCTGCACATTTAACTTGTGCACATTCAGCTTTATGAAGGGGCAAAAAAAATATAATATTTTTTTTAAGGGGCAGAAAGGGGCAGGGTTCCAGGAAAATGACTTTGGCACAACAGGTTTTGAACACAATGGGTTTTGACTAGACACAATTTTGGCTTTAGGCATGATCCCTGGAATGCAACCTCTGCATAAGTTGTGGACTTACTGTATTACACTGTCACTCTGCGGCATCATTTTGCTAAGGTCAGCAAATCTCAAGGCATTTGAAACTCACAATATTTGCTGTGTATTTATTTATCTTTGAATCATTTTGACTTAACTAATTAATATTCCTAAAATTGCTAACTGCCTTAGTGGTTAGCTGCCTTAGGCATCCCCAGCTTTGTGGAAAGAGAGGGTAGGGATATAAATATTAGTTTTAGTTTTTACCCTTGACGTGTCATAAATAGGTGCACACTGCATGAGAGTATACAGCAAAAGATAAGAAGCAAAAACTTTGTGGGAAAGTCATAACTTTCCTTTGGTTCGGCAGTGCCTGTCCACTCTCTGCTGGCCACCTCTCTCTTCCCAGTTGCCATTGAGGGTGTCTCTTGGATGAAATGTCATGAGTTGTTGCCTTTCATTTACGAGAGACACTTAGAGTAGGGGCAAATCAACTTGATGAACTGTGTTTCTCCCTCCAGGAGGGCCACAGCATTTCTTGCCCCACTACCAAGCCCGACAGGTGCTCCAGTGTGTCTAGAGAGAGTGCCATCTTCCTCACTCACTGCATTGTTGGGCACCGTCTTGTGATTATCAGAGAGGAGTCTGCAGGTTCTGATCTTCTTGGGAAGGGCTTCTGCACCCTCAGCTTCTAGATAGCGGTGTAAGTCTGCCTGGAATTGCCAAATGAAAGGGAGCCACAGGGAGGCATGTGGTGAGGTAAGAATTCAGCCAGCGGAAAAGTAATTTGTAAACAAAGCTCAAGGTGACCCACCCCCCTTTATAATCTAGCCCTTCTCTCCCTGTTGCAATGGAGAATATTGGTAAATGCATCTCGGTTACTCATTCAAAAGCCTTTTTTCCCCCTTCCAGGGGAGAAAAAAATATTTTGTTTCAGCAAATTCCTCCTTCATTATGATTCCTGCTAGTGCAATTGAATTGTGGGTCAAAGAGCTCTTCATCCAAGGACTTCCATTTAAAAGCAATTCATTTATTTGCTGCATCTTAAAGGGCTGAATAATTGGCTGGTTTTAATTGAAGCTGTTGCTTTCTGCTCCTTGATATTAGTAAGGTCCAAGGTTCTTTTTCTTATATGTAATCCATAATATTGACCAAGTTTGGCCTGTTTTCATTTCAACGCAAGAGCCACTTGTCAAAGAAGGAGAGGGGAAAAACAGCAACAACATGATTTTTTTTTAACTTGAGTGCATGGAAAAGCTGTTTTGCAGGGTTTTCTTTTTCATTTGACAGAAGTGTCATTTAAGCATTCATTTATTTTGTGAGACTAAATTGATGAGCGGCAGCAGTTGGTTTCAGAATAAGAGTGAAACTCTGGTGTCATCAGCATACATTACAATATTGAACCATTTAAAAGACATTAAACACTGTTCACATGTTAATACCAAAGTGGTGCTGTTTTCTGTGCTGAATTATAATCAAAGATCTTTAAGATCATATTTTATTATATGTAATATTTCTTAGTCTTTATAGTATATGGTTCTCTTTGCAGAATACATTGGAAGAAATCTGCTATTTGCTTTTTAATATTCCAGGGGGATAACTTTAAGTTGATTTGACAGCTGCTATTATTATCCTATGGCTGTAGAAATCCTATACACATATAGATTTTCTTGCTCTTATTAGACATCTTATATTTGTGCCAAAAACATAATTCTTGGGGATATTGACTTTTTATTTGGCAATGGATATCTGCTTTCATACATACACATTCTGTGAGTCAGTGGAAGACTAGCTAAGTAATTAAATATAGATCACATCTTTTAGGCCACTTTACAACTGAAGCCAAATAATAATGTTGTGAGGCAATATCTTTTTCCATCTATGCTATCCCGGAAATACAGAAATGGGGAGCTTAATTCTTTGGAATGAAGAATTGAACTAGTATTGTCTTTGACCCAAATATTATTTATAGAGGGAAATGGAATGTTTTAACATATAAGGCAGTTTAATCTTTAGAATTCAGAAATTGCTCAGAACTTGAGGAAAAAATAAGGTGCAACAGATGCTTTCAAAATTAGATTCTCCTGATACCTCTTTTTGCTGCTGTCTTTTCATTCTTTTGTTAAGTTTCATTAAGTTTTTACTATTCTGATGGGAGCCACCCTGAGTGGTTGGGGAAACCCAGTCAGATGGGTGGGGTATAAATACTATTATTATTATTTATTATTACTCTACTAGCATGAACAGCTAAATATCTATGGAAAATGCAGATTTGTTAGTCAATATAAGAAGAGGCTTTCTCCAGCAAAGGCTGCAGGTTCCAATGCCAGGGATGGAGAAAAAGAGGAAATGAGAACTGTAGCAAGTGTCAACTAATGGAAGGAGGCATTCACCTGAGTTTCTTGCTTGGGCCTGGGACTATAAAGCAGTAAGAGGTAGTACAGGTCTTCCTTGTCACTTCTGTTGAAAATATCTCTATAGAGACAGAACTATTCAAAAGCAACTTTTCAAAATAAAGGCATAAATTCTCTGTAACCTATTCTCCCCCCAGACAGGAACATACAGAAAATAGGTTTTACTGAGCACCCTGCCTAGCTTGCCAGTACCTTGGCGTTTATAGAATATTATATTTTTTCTTTGTTTTGTATGTTTACATACAAATTGCATTTCCAAATTTGGTCCCATCATTACAAACAGGAAAGAATCAATTAATTGTTGGCATCATTTTGCAGTATGCATATATAGAATCATAGAATTGTAGATTTGGAAGGGGACACAAGTCCAACCCCGTGCAATGCAGGAATCTTTTGCCCAATGAGGGGCCTGAACCCAGGACCCTGTGATTAAGAGTCTCACGCTCTACCAACTGAGCTTGCAGAGCTTTAAAGTTTTCCAAGTACTTCATGTACAGTATTGAAGTAATGATTGTAAGGTAGGGTGCTAAGATGTATCTCCATATTGCAGGGGTGGACGCTGAACATCAGAGAGCATGGTGAGCCAAGTGAGTTCGTGGTACAGGTGAGGTTGGAACCAAAGACTTCCAGGTTCACAGCTCAGTCACTTAACCACAGCACAACACTGCAGTACAGATGAGAAAGAGTGGAGGCCACAGTGAGTCACTGCTAGGAGCTCTTTAGCCTTCCAGGAAAATTAAGCTCTAGCAGAGTTTCTGGTATAGCCTCTGGAGAAGACAGCATGTAAAATCCCCCTCCATAATAAATCTTGCCATGTGGGGCAGTAGGATTGGACCATCAGAGCTTCCAAGACCAACTTGTCCTGTGGTAGTGTGGGGCAGAGGGAAAGGGCTCAAACTGTGCAGCATTTTATATTGACTTAAAAAAAAATTATTTCAGTATGTAATAAAATCATATTCTTTGCTTTTTCGTGAACTGTGTGCAAAGGTAGCAGTCCCAGCTATACAGATGTGCCAGTGTTGTGGACTGTAAACAACATTGTTTTACAGTGAAAAATATGTCTAATATAAGTACGGCTTGAGCGGCTTGCCATTGAGGGTCTGGGAAATATATAGCTGTAGCACTTAGATATTCTAGCAGAGTTAAGAGATTAAGAGGAAACACAGCCATACAAACAAAATTACATGGAGTGGTAGATCACCATAAACAACATCCAGCTTTTTAAAGTGTATTCATAGTATTTCAGAGGCAAAAAAGCAGAGCAGCTCTACTTAATGGAGAAAAGACTAAAGTTACAATGATATTGCATCAAGACATCAGTGAAATAGCTGTCTGTCATTCTCAGTAGTGGCATTAAGAAGTAACTGAGGGTCTTAGGAAATGTGAATCAGTACTGGGTAATGGGCACAGATATATTGATGCAGAATTTCTGAAATTGCAGTTGAGCAATAGCATGCACTCAGTGTGTCTTCCTGCTGAAAAGGATGACATGAGTGTAAAGCTAAAAGTAAAACAACCACAAAAAGACAGCACCAACAAAAAAAGAACCTGAAGGAGAATTTATTGGTCAAATGCCCTGCCCAACATGTTCCGACAAATGTCTTCTTCAGGGGCAACAATTACAAGCTGTCCTATTTCAAAAGGTGCTTCAGAGTTATAGTTCATGCTGCATGTTCCTCCAAAGCACCTTTTGAAATGGGAGACCTGTAATTGTCCCCCCTCAAGAAAACATTTGTCTCCTTCAGCAGCAGTTTCTGAGGTCCACCCCCCGCCTCCCTCACTCTCTCGTATTTATATAAAGCTGTCAAGTTATTAAAAAGCCAGGAGTTCTATGTGGGTTGTTGGTGCTTAGTGGTAGCAATAAGAACATTTGCAAGGATTGCTTCCCCGAATTTATGTGTACAATCCCACGCTATTTTACAATCTTCCATGACCAGCAGCTGAGATTGTTCATGGAATTAGGTCAATTTACACTTTTCCCATGGAGGCAGTTACGCCCTTCTCATGGCAACTGATCCATGCTTCTTGATAGCGGTACTTGTACAATGGTAGCAATATGCATAAACCAAGAGCCACCAATGCAGCACCCACAAGCACCAGTGTGCCAGCAGTAGATCCTATGGCACCTATGAAAGGTCTCAGTAAATTTCCCCTCAAAATGTACAATGCATGAGAGATGTTTGGTGTTCCTGCTCATTTCCTGTTTACACTGGTTCAGCCTCTCCTACATGGAACATGTCTCTTTAAATATGCCCACATTTCACTGGATACCAGGATTGGATACCCTTCCCACTTCTAAACAGCAGAGAGGTGAAAAGAGCTGCTCTCTGCAATCAAGTAAGGCAGTGAATGCTTGGGGTGCATGCCTGCACCATTTTGTGTCCCTGTCTCTCTCCCCAATATTTCAAATGTGGCGACCATTTTGTTGTGCCATGCCTCGGCTGCAGCCATTTTGTGACCCACAGCACTTTCTCAAAACTCTACTTGGACACTTAGACTCATCATTCCTCTTAATGGAGTCAGTCCCTAGGAAGGAACTGTGGATCATCAGATCTCATGGCCCAAAAGAGGATATTCTGCAGCAGAAGAACCTTTCAACCTTCTGAAAACCTCCACAGCTGGGAGTTCCACAACTCTGCTGAGCAACTTATTCCACTGCTGAGGTTTAGACATGGACACCTCCACTGGCAGGGCTCATCCAGGACTAACTTTGAGATCTGTTGCACCCTAAAGTGAGAATCATATCTCTAGGACTCCCATGTATGCAACATGTACACATAAGGAAGATTTACAAATGATGAGCACAGTGGGGGATTTTTCTTATGCTTTAGTATTGTAATGTCACTTATACTGATGTCATGTAGTATGAGCATGGAAATGGCTCCTCCCATTGTGGGCAACAAGTCTTGCCAACATTACTTGGTGCAGCTTGGCTGGCCAGCCCCTAACATACTCCAGTTCCCCAGCCATGAGTAGCTTAGGCCATTTGGATAGAATCCAGTATTTCAAGGGTTGTGGTGCTTATTCTATATCTCATCCTCCCTGATATGTGGAATTGGAACCTAGAACCTCTCTTCATTTGCTGAACAATGACAACAAAGAGTATTGTGGCACCTTAAAGACTAACAAATGTCTTGTGGCATAAGCTTTTGCAGTCTGAAGGCCATTTTGTCAGGTGCATGGAGTGAAATCTTAGCTGGCAGAAAATTCCAAGGTGGGAGATAAATGGCAATGAGATAAAAAAATACAGTCTGTGATAATTAGGGCGTAGATAAAGGTTCAGTAAGCACATTTGGTGAAATGTGCCACAAAAATTTGTGCCGTAATAAATTTCTTCATTTTTAAGATACTGCAATACCCTTTGTTGTTTCTGCTGCAAGAGACTAACCTGGCTGCCTCTCTGGATCATTTGTATAATAGAGTCTTTTCCCAAAGGTTTTAGTCAACTGTCCTTTATAAATCCTAGCATCTTATGCCCACAACCACCACCTCTGCTTCCTGCGAATAGAATCCTGTCACCCTGTTCTGCTCATCAAGCCAGTAGACTCAAGTTGACTCAGTAGACTCAGCCTGGCTTCAGACAAGTACATAGTTCAACAGGACAGAACAGCTGTGGTTTCCCTTCACTTCCCCCCTTACTTCCTCCTCATCCCATCTCCTGCCCTACTTTTATTAAGGCTTCCCCATTACAGCAAGAAGGAAAGCCCTCCTTCATAAACCCAATTAGCTGTCATTTTACTGGTAAATATTCAATTCAGGTTGTCGGCCAGATATTTTGCCCCCTGTAATGTAAACAGCATATTGTGTTATGCAGGATCATAATAGCTCTAAATGGTATGTAGCTGAAAATAAATATAGATACAGCATGCTCCCCTTGCGGTTTGTGTTGCTTACTCTGCCCCCACCTGCCCACCCCTCGATGTGGGCTATGCCATGCATATGTTGTCTCTGATCAGAACAACATGCACACACTTTGCCCTCTTTAGAGAGGAACGTGTGGTTCTTTGAAGGCACGGTTTTAAACAGATGGGGATGTTAACTGCACCAGATTGCAAGCTCACGGAAGGTGTTGCTGCTCAAGAGAAGTGAAGCAGTATAATCTCCCCTGTGACTTCTGGCAAGCGCAAAGTGCCCACCTTCCTCAGGATTATGGCTCATAAAGTGCAGAACCCCGGGAAGTTCTCCCATGCACTTATGTGCTGCACATTCCCCTACAGGGAGGTATATGTCGAAAACACTGGTAACTTCCTGCCCTATCCTGCCATGATGGGGTAGTGATTAGATTAAGACTGGGAAGACCCAGCTTCAAATCCCCATTCAGCCATAAAGTTAATTGGGTAACCTTGGGCCAGTCACCTCTCTGCCTAACCTACCTCACAGGGTTGTTGTGGAGGTAAAATGGAGAGTGGGGAACTATATACAGTTCCTTGAATGCCTTGGAGGAAAGCCAGGATAAAAATGTAATAAATATTGTTGTTTCTTTACCATCAACCTCTTCTATTAAATGAAATCTTTTGCTGCTGCTGTAGAATGTACTTTATGCTAACAGCACCCTAGGGGCATTGAAGTACCCCAAAAGAGAGTTTATAATTGGCTTTATGTGGTATCCGGAGGTGTAGGGACGTATAGAGAACTGATATTTTAATCTTATAGATGACTGGAGGAGATCTATTTTGATGTGTTTAATGCACAGGTGATACTTTTTTAACAGGCCATATTTATAGGTGATGTCCCAAATTACCTGTATGTGTTTTATTTTTATGGTTTAGGTGTTCAGACGTAATAATGCTGGGCTTATTTGTTAGAAATCCTGGTAAATAAAATGAAGTTCCACCAGTATGGTTGGTGCAAGGTTGCACATTGTTTCCTTGTATATTTTCTAAGGGATTTTCCCTGTCACCAGACAGACAATTATGAACATTTCCATTTTCCTTTGCTGGAAATAACCATAAGGATGAAAGATACAAGAGAACCCTGATAATGTCACAACCAGAAGCAAATACATACACTGTTGTGGGCGTTGTATATGTCTGTGACCTTTTACTACTTTTGTGAACAATTTTTCTGAGTCGGGATGGGTAATGTGGACTGGATGTTGCTAGACTACAGCTCCCATTGTCCCTGACCCTTGGCCATGCTGGCTGGGGCTGATGGGAGTTGGAGTCCAGCAACATCTGGAGGGCCCAGGCTCCCCATCCCTAATTTATAGGATAATGCCTCTGGCTAGCTAGGGAGGAAGGAGAGCTCTCGAAACCAATGAGAGAAGTACAGCCATTCATCATCTCTGGCACTACTCAGCTGAGAATATTGAATGGAAAGGGCAGGCCAAGTTAACTGTGAGTGAACCCAAGATGTTTTAGGCAAAGAAGCATCTTGCAGAATGGAAGGGACCTGTGTTGATATGTGCAAGGAGCCACACAGTTGACGGAAAACCATAGTTAATAATGGTAGAATTGTCAGGGGGTCA